TCCACCAAGGAGCTAACCTCTCAGCTTAACTCTGTTTGCTTAAATATTCTGGAATGTGTTGCTCCCGTTAAAACCAGGAAAACAAAACTTTTATCAGAACCATGGCTTAATGACGTCACTCAAGCCGTTAGACAGCAGTGTAGGAGAGCAGAACGCAGGTGGAGGAAAGACAGGCTGCAGGTTTCTTTTCAAATCCTAAAGGAGAGTTGGTGTCATTATCAGAAGGCAGTTAAAGCCGCCAAATCGAAGTTCTTTTCTGCAATAATTGCCTCAAACTCCCACAACCCTCGAGCCCTTTTTTCCACCCTGAACTCAGTTCTACACCTCAGTGAACCTTCACCTCTTGAAGCCTCAACTGAGCTGTGTGAAAACTTCCTCCATTTCTTTTCTGAAAAAGTTGCAAACACCCGGGCACTCATTTCTCCACCTACTCATGATCCGTCCATCCCATCTCATTGTGTTGCTGTTCCTGACCACTTCGAGCCCATCTCTCTGTCTTCCCTGGAGCAGGTCATGTGCGGCATGAAGCCATCTGGCTCCCCTTTTGACGTTGTCCCCCCTCGACTCCTTAAGGAGCTTCTTCCTGTTCTGGGCCCTCCTGTTCTTGGCATTGTGAACAGCAGCTTAGCCTCAGGTGTGGTGCCAATAACTTTTAAGCATGCTGCTGTCCAACCTCTCCTGAAAAAACCTAGCCTTGACCCCTCAGTCATGTCCAACTTCCGGCCTGTCTCCAGACTCCCATTTGTCGCTAAACTACTGGAAAAAATAGTCGAGTCCCAGCTGAAATGCTTTCTAGATGATAATGCCATCTTAGAGCTATTCCAGTCTGGCTTTAAACCTCTCCACAGCGCTGAAACTGCTCTACTCAAGGTTTTTAACGACATTCTCCTATTCACAGACGCTGGTGATTCTGTGCTCCTTCTCTTACTGGACCTCACATCTGCCTTTGATACAATCGACCACGAGATCCTCATTGCGAGGTTAGAGCAGTGGGTGGGCATCACTGGGTCAGCCCTCGAATGGTTTAGATCTTACCTTGCTGACAGGTCCTTTTGTGTCTCCATCAAAGATTTTAGTTCAGCCTCGGCAGCGCTTAAATGGGGGATACCGCAAGGGTCCATCCTTGGTCCTCTTTTATTTTCTTTTTACCTGCTGCCACTAGGTGCTATTTTCAGGAAACATAACATACCTTTTCATTTCTACGCCAACGACTGCCAAATCTACTTCCCCCTCAGACTCAACGGTACTCGCTCTATTCAACCGTTACTGGACTGGACTGGCTGACATCAGAGATTTGATGGCTTTAAATTTCTTGAGTTTCAACGAGAAGAAATCTGAAGTTATGCTGTTTTTTCCCAATGACACAATCACCAACCACTGCATCGACCTATCCGTTCTGTCACCGTTAGTGAAACAAAGAGTCACTAATCTAGGAGTGATACTTGACCCTTCTCTGAAACTCAACAATCATGTAAATATGATTGTTAAATCCTGCTTTTTCCAGCTGAGGCGATTGTCTAAGCCACATATGTCAGAGTCAAGGCCCGCGGGCCACATCCGGCCCGCGAGAAGGTTTTTTACGGCCCTTGGGATGATCTTGATTTCTTATTAGAACCGGCCCACAGACCGCAGCAAGCCGGTCTTGTGCGAAATTCTGTTCCCCTGTGAAAATCTGTTCCCCCTGTGTCGGGAGCGCGCACTGCAACCAGAGAGGCGGCTCCGACCGTCTTCACGGCTCATCTGATAGATTTCTCGGTAAAACGAGTCCACGTAATCGTGTCACGGTTGTAACTTTCATTTTAATGGACAGCTCCTGGTAAATAAATAAATGAAAACCTCAACAACAACAAAAAACCTGGTCTTGTTTGTTTTTTTGTTTTTTTTAATCGCCGAGAGAATCTACAACTTTGGTCATGTTCATTTTAGCCTGACAAATATGAGTCAGCCACCAACATATCATGCATATTTATAATTTTTTCTTGCTAATGTAGAAGGATGGAAGCTGGTGAGAGCAGGACACGAAAAATTAAACTTCCTGAAAACAAATATAGGCTTTCTGGTAAATCTCGTTCATATGAAAAATATCACACTATTGAAGAACAGATATTTCTAGCTGCTATTTTTTTGCATTTAATATCTGTTTTCTCTCTCTCTCTCTCTCTCTCTCTCTCTCTCTCTCTCTCTCTCTCTTATTTCTCTTAAGGAGAAAAAAATGCTTAAACCTCAAAGTACGTGGAACAAGATTTCAGCCTGAAACACACTCAGTAATGTTTTGGTGATTATTTAATCATCTTGACATTTAGGTTCAATCATCACACACAACTCCTTGAGAATTAGGAAACATTTGCTCTTTTTTGTGGCCAAAGTTACCTGAAAGTATTAGTTACCTGAAATAAACTCCCCCCCCCCTCCCCCCACAACATGGGAATAAATTATTATTGCTAAAAGTCCTTAACTCTGCTCATTCCTCTCGTCATGGACAACTAGTCCTGTGAATTTGGAAACATTTGCTCTTTATTTGCCAAAGTTAGAAAGGGGGAACTGAATATTTTATAATATAATATATTTTTATTTTGTTTTCTTTGATGAACCTGAACAAAACATCACACAGAAGTCGACTTACTGCTGAACACCTTCACTCAATTCTGAGGATTTCCTCAGCTCAGAGCCTTACCCCGAAATTGATGAACTGTGGAAAAGATGGGACACCACCAAGTATCACCCTCAACCTCAAACAAGTGAACATTACTTTGCAATCACATATTTAGTTTTTACTCAGTTCAAGTTTAAAAGTTCAAGTTTAATATTTGTTTTCACTGCATGTTACTTCTCCTTGAGGAAAGTGTTGTTTTTGATTAATAGATTTTTGCACTTTATTTTATTGTATTTCAATCCAATTTTATTTTAAAAATATTTCAGTTGAGTGGATGATAGAAAATTGCTATTATTTTTTTCTTTGAAGTAAATTTAGCCCACTAAAATAGAAAATATAGGCTACTGATGGTGACTTGAATAATACAGGTTTCTTTCATTTAATGTTCATGTTATGGGGATTTTTATATAAAGGAAATTTGTCTTTTGTGTCTGTTGAAAATTAAAGATTACTGACAGAGCCATAAGAAAATATTGCTTTATCTGTCTGATCATATTGAAATATATTTGTTAGGTTTTCAGTAGGTTCAATTAGGTTCACTAGACTATATGCGTCATTTAAAAAAATTTCAATGAACATTCGATCAGTCCGGCCCTCGGCTTGTAGCTAAATTTTTTATTTGGCCCTCCATCCATTTGACTTTGACACCCCTGGTCTAAGCTGAAGCCCATTTTGTCCAAAAATAACCTGGAGACAGTAATTCATGCATTCATTACATCCAGGCTCGACTATTGCAACTCACTCCTTTTTGGTATCAGTCAGACCTCCATAGCTAGACGTCAACTGGTCCAAAATGCAGCAGCCCGTTTTTTGACCAGCACAAGCAAAAGAGAGCACATTACACCTGTTTTGGCCTCCCTACACTGGCTTCCGGTTCACCTTCGAATCAAATTCAAAATACTCTTGTATGTCTATAAATCACTAAACAGCTCTGCCCCCTCCTATCTTACTGATCTGCTCCAGCCGTATGTCCCACCACGTTCTCTCAGATCAACAGACCAGTTGCTCCTAACAGTCCCAGGAACCCGTCTCAAGCGCAGAGGTGACAGGGCCTTCTCTTTAGCAGGCCCAAGACTTTGGAATGAGTTACCTCTGCTCGTTAGACAGGCCCCCTCCCTCACAGTTTTTAAATCTTGCTTAAAAACACACTTTTATTCCCTGGCTTTCAGCACTGTGTGATCTGTGCTGAGTCTGTGTGCATCACACTGTGTTGGTCATGTTGCGGTTGTTGTTGTTATCCATTATTGTTTTTGTTGGTTTCTACTTTTTGGTGTCCTGTTATGTAATTGTTGCTGTGTGCTTGTTCTGTTTGTCCCTGTACAGCACTTTGGTGTGCTTTGTCACTGTTTAAAGTGCTTTATAAATAAATTGGTATGGTATGGTATGGTATGGTATGGTATGGTGATGCTGGATAGCTGTGTGTTTTATGTTCTGCAGAACAAGAACCTGCTGTAAAACAGCAAAAATGCTGAGCCAGGCCCCATTTCTTTTAATTTTTTCCAGTTTAAAAATGTAAATAAATAAACCAGAGGCAATGAGGGGTTCAGTGTCTTGCCGAGGGACACTTCAACATGTGACTGCTGGTGGAATTGAACCCTTACCTCTTCCATTGAAGGATGACTGCTCCAACCACTCAGCCACATGTGTGGTGTTTTCAAACCTGGGGCAGACAGTAGTTCATTTAAGCATCAGTTCAAGCTTGGGGGCAAAAAGAAACAAATGAAAGTAAACATTTTGTGGACATTTTTGAGCTTGAAGGGTGTGTGAACAGGATGCGCATGTACTTCACATTTTTCTTTAAAGGGGTATCTGGTGGTTTTTGAAGTGATGTTCTAATAGTTAGCACTTAATCAGCTATGACATCAGTCATGGAGGATGAAGAAAAGAAGAGATGTTGTGAAGTGCTGAGGCATTTGAGTGTGTGAGTCCAGTGGGAGTTTAGTAAATATTTGGACAAATAAAGTGCTGATCAGGCAGACTGTTGCATTCAGGAGCCTCAGCAGCGTCAACTCATACATGATCTGTTGAAGTTCAACACACACACATTGATATCATAACAAGAACATAGTACTGTTAAGAAAACAGTGACCAACTAAAACTCATACAAAAGTGTGGATGTTTAATATTAGCTGATGTAACCCCTTTTAGTATTGACACACTGCATGTGATGATGGCAATAAAAACACTTATCAGGTGTATCAAAGCTTGAAAAATGAAACATAATGAACACTTGTCTGGCTAGCCTTTAGCTTAGCATGCATGAAGATTTTTGATCATATCTGATAGCATCACTCCAGACATCACCAGACTAACCTGTTCAGAATGAAACTGTTCTTGTTTCCTGCAGGACACGTCGGTGATGACAGATGACAACGGTTCTGATACGTCCCAGTTCACAGGAAGCACGATAAACCTCCAGGACTTGGAGTAGTCCCTCTCGGTTCTCCAACAAGATGTTCACTTTAAGATCTGATCCAGAGATGGCTCTCTGGCTCTGTCACTGTATCCAGTTTGAACTGCAGACAGACCTGGAGAATTTGACCAAGCCCTGGCTTGCTGATGAAGGGACATGGACTTCATTTGATTGTTGACTGTGCACGCTGGTGTCCACATATGATGCACCTTCAGATGTTTGCAAAGTCCAGATTGTACCAGAGCCAGAGCTGGGTGCGTCGTCATGGCAGAAGCATCCTTTGTGTTGTTGATTGGTGTTCCATTGTGCCACACTGTGTGCACACCAGTTGCCTTGCACATGCCTCATGCTGTGCACACTTTCACTGACACGAGACACCTGACAAGAGCTACTACTTTCTTGGGGTATTTTATAATTTAATTTTATTGATAGTTGTTGGTTTACAAAATGGACAAATCAAACTCGAATTAAAGAATCAAAGCACAATCAAATAGTACTGAGAGATGTATTTATTTCACTTTAAAATAAATTATGATGTAATTTCTACTTTATGTATTAGGTAAGCACAACAATGAAACACAGTTTGAAGGGAGGAGGAAAAAAGACAAATGTCCCTCTCAGCACATTTATTTGTTTTATCAATGAATCTTTTATAGACAAACAACAGAGAAACAGTTTTTGCAGGTGACACTGCCATATTGAAGCCGTCCGTACAACGGTCCAGTTTTCAAGTGGAGGCCTGTCCAAACTGAACGCCCAGAGGTCAAGAAGATGGAAATGTTTGACCAGTGACCTGGTAAAGAACACTGATGTAAATAATAGCTTCACGCAAACCTTCAACGTGTTAGCTAATTCCTGTCTCAACTAAGGTGTTTCCTTCATTCCCATTTTAGATTTACTTAATTTGTCTTTATTTACGGTAATGGTTATGCACTTTGGGGGTTTAAGGGCGCTGTAAGTAAACCTTTACCTAAAATAACCTGTTCTCAATTCAGAAGCACTGGTCAATTATAAATATTTGGCACTTCACCACTTGCTCTTGCTGAGATCAGACGCTTTTCCATCCCCTCCCTCCGATTTGCTTTGCTGCTCTGTCTGTCTGTCTGTGAAACTGCTTCTGAGCCTCTCTTGCATATCTTCCGAACCATAATTATGGACTCGTTTTGATCAGTTGGTCCCTCAACTCAATTTGCAACATTTCTTCGAAGAGAAGACAGGCTTTAGGCGAGGCAAATTGCCCTGTTGGCATGCACGCAGCTGGATATCTCATCGACTTGGAAGACTTTATGATGTGTCTATCTCTGCTGCCATTTGTGGATTTTAAGGATGCATATTTAATTGGATTTACAATAACTGGTTCCTACTTTTTGGATTCGGCTGGTTGCTGGTTTTATCTACAATCAAGGAAGTCGTCGGCAGCAAATTTGGACCCGATCACGCTGCTTGCCTTTATGATGGCTTGGTTCGTGTCTCGAGTACCCGGAGTCAAATGTTTTGGGCAGAATGGATCAGATCTCGGGGATTTTACTCAGTCATGTAATTTGGACATTTCGGAACCGTTTGGAACAACAAAGACTCAGAGTAGATGTCATTAAGTTCTGCCTGTCCCCAAAACAACTGTGTGTTTATCTGAATTTGACTCCCTTGGCTGGCCTTGAAGGCCATCTTATCTGAATTCGCCTGGAGAACGTGATCTGATGCTCACCACCCCCTCCCTGAGGAATTTCCAACTGATAACCAGATGAACCCAGCTGAATAAACTTTGTGTCATCCGTGTCATCCTTTCAGGACTCTTGGATTCTCAATCGTTATTCTTGACCATTCCTCGACATACCTCGCAAATGTTTACGGATCTCACCGGAGGACACTGGCTGATTATCCCATTCTTATCAGAACTCTTATAGTGTCCTCGAGAGCATCTATGAACATGCTCACCGCTCTCGTCGTCCCCCTCTGCAGAATGTCTACGTCACTATGTGCTCGTTTGTGCGAGGTGTTTGGTTTTTT